AGTTCAAGGTCAGTTTGGGCAATATAAACAGACTTCTGAGAAGGGAGAAGAGGGAAAAGGAGGGGCGGGGAGAGGAGGGGGAAAGAAAGATAAGGAAGGGGAAAGAAAAAAAAACGAGAAAAGGAAGGAGAGATGGAGGGAGAAAAAAGAAAGAAAGGAAAAAAGTTTCTAGGGGATTAATATACAGAAGATATAAAGATTCAAAAAACACCAAAAACAAAACAAAACAAACCCTATTCAATACATGGGCAAAAGAACTAAAAAGAAACTCCTCACAAGAAGAAACAAAAACGGCCATTAATTATATGGAAAAAAAAAAAAGTTCAACATCTCTAGCAGTCAGGGAAATGCAGAACAAAACTACACTAAGATTTCATCTCACTCTAGTCAGAATGGCAATGATCAAGAATACAAACAAATGCTGATGAGGATGTTGGGGAAAAGATACACTTGAATTTTGTTGGTGGGACTGCAGACTAAGTACAACCACTCTGGAAAGCAGTACAAAGATTCCTCAAAAAATCAGAGATGGAACCAGCATATGACCCACCTATCACGTTCCTTGGTATTTTCCCAAAAGATCTAAAAACGGCATACTACAGCAATAGTCACCTCAATGTGTATAACAACACAATTGATGACAGCTAAATTATGGAATCAACCTAGGTACTCTCAATAGATGAACAGATTAAGAAAATGTGGCATATATACACAATGAAGTTCTATTCAGACATAAAGAAGAAAGAAATGTTGGCATCTGCCAGCAAATGGATGGAAATGGAGAATATCATTCTAAATGAAATAAGTCAAACTCAGAAACTCAAAGATTTTTCTCTCATATGCAGAAGCTAGAGTGAAATAAAGGAAAGGTGAAGAGAAGGATATTATATTAATGTAGTAGGAGATCAAGAGGCAGAGTAGAGAGATGATAAAGGGAAGACAATGCAGAATAAATTCTTTAAAATCATGTTATTTGCATATATAAATATACTACAGGGAATTTTACCTTTATATATGTAAAAATAACCAAATACATATAAAATAGATAAGCCAAAGGAAGTCTAAAAGAGGAAGGAGACTGGGGGAGGGAAGGGAACATGGGAGGGGAAAAAAAGGGATTCATGAATTGAAATCAAATTCTATGCATGTACAAGTTTGAATGAACCCATAGTATGTAAAATAATAAAGCTCTAATTTATAAGAAAAGAAAAATGTTTCTTAGAAGTAAATTTATTATGTCAAAGATCGTTAACATTTGGTAGTAACTCTGAAAAGTCACTTCAACCAGTTGTATACAAGGAGTTCCTATGTGACTGAATTTTACAAGTAAGATTTTATTTTTATTTTTTAAATGTTTGCTAACTGGGGGCTGAGGCTGTGTCTCAGTGGTAGTGCACTTACCTGGCATGTGTGAGGCACTGGGTTCAATTCTCAACTCCACATATAAATAATAAAATAAAGGTCATCAACAACTAAAAATATATTTTTAAAAAAGTTTGCTAACTGAAGGTAAAAAATATTTTAAATTATAAATTTTGATAATCAATGAAACTATACATTGAAATTATAATTTATAAGCTAACTTCTAACTTCTAATTTCCATGTTGATTAAATATCTATACAGGGACTAGGGTTGTGGTTCAGTGGTAGAGCACTTGCCTAGCATGTGTGAGGCACTAGGTTTGATTCTCAGCACCACATATAAATAAATGAAATAAAATAAAGGTCCATCAACAACTAAAGACTTTTTTTAAAGTGTCATGAAGTTTAAAAAAAAGATCTATGCATGCCCTTTCCCATCTTTTCTTTTTTTAAAATATATTTATTTTTTAGTTGTACACAATACTTTTATTTTGTTTATTTATTTTTATATGGTGCTGAGGATCAAACCCAGGGCCTCACACGTGCTGGGCAAGCACTCTATGGCTGAGCCATAACCCCAGCCCCTTTCCCATCTTTTCTAAAATACTGGGCTGCGGGTATAGCTCAGGAGTAGAGCGCTTGCCTGGATTTGATCCTCAGCAACACATAAAAATCAGTCAATCAATAAATAAGAGTATTCTGTCCTTCTATGCACCCCAATTTTTTTTTGAAAAACCTCTAAAATGCCAAGGATAGAAACTTTATCCTCCCCAACCAAAGCAGAAATACCCCAACATTTCTGAGAAGATACCCTAAAATATGCTTGAATGTATAAGGAGACATGCAACTTGCTACTTCATAATGTAAACATTAAAAATGGGAAAAACAGGGGCTAGGGTTGTGGCTCAGAGGTAGAGCACTCACCTAATATGTGTGAGGCACTGGGTTTGATCCTCAGCACCATATAAAAATAAAATAAAGATATTGTGTCCACTGTAACTAAAAAAAATAAATACTAAAAAAATGAGGAAAAACAAATCCTAGCCAAAAATATGCATCTATCGATTGATTGATTGATTGGCACTGGAGATCTAACTTAGGAGCACGACACTGAGCTACATCTCCAACCCATTTTTAAAATTTTTCTGTTTTGAGACAGGGTTCTCACTAAGTTGTTGAGGTTGGCCGTGACTCCTGCCTCAGCCTCCCAAGTCACTGGGATTACAGGTGTTGCCACCATGGACAGTTCAAAAAAATTTCTTAACTGAATTTCCAGACTCTCATAAAATTATGCTGGTGTGATACTAGGATGTCACTAAATAATTGCAAAACTTAACCTCTTGGCTTTTCTTAAAAATTACTAAAATAACGGGTTAAATGTCCATGTTTACTTGAATACTGAAACATAATCCAACCACAATACCAAAGAACTGAGTAAAAAGTACTGTGATGGCTTTCTAACATAGTTGTTCACTATTTGGTAACTTCAGAAAACCAACCCTCAAACCTTACCTTTTCAAAAAAACTTAAAAATACCTATTTTAACTATATTTATCTGAATATGGAAAAGATTAAGATGACATTAACATACAGCTGTCATTTATTAAGTGCTATATACAAAACCTGATCCTAAATGCTTCCCCATACCTTTTTGGGGGGTTGCTAAGGATGGAACCTAGGACCTGCATACACTAGGTAAGTGCTTTAAACCCGAGTTACATCTCCAGTTCCCTACATGCTTTGTAATACTGTACATTATTTCATTTAATCTTTTTAATCCCAAATGTACATTATTTCCACTTTATTAAAAAAAAGAAGGCAAAGATGTCATAACTGTTTTAAGCAATAATTTCTGAATGATTTCAATAGAAGTAATCTGCAGTGTGACATTAAGTATATTCATCATCAAAAAACATTTTTTTAAACAAATTAAATTTACCAAAATTTCCAATTTTCATTATTCTCTAAAGTCTGTTTTTTGTTTAAATAATCCTTTGGCATAGGTAATTTTTCTGTGGAACTCCTGGCTGTGCAAAACCTAAAAATAAAGTTAAACTATGAACCCTTTGTTTACAAATAGGTTGATAGGAACTCAAAATTAAGCTTATTAATTTTTTTTTGACACTGAAAATTGAACGAACCAAGGGGCATTCTACCACTAATTCCCATCTCAAGCTCCCTGTCCCTTCATTATATCTAATTTGCCAAGACTAGCCTCTAACTTGCAATCCTCCTGCCTCAGCCACCAGTCACTGAAATTACAGTCTTAGTCATGTGCCACCACAACTGACCAAACTTAGAACTTCTTATAAAAACAATAGTACAAATGAGCAGCATCTGTCTGCGCAGTTAACCTATGATGTAACTGAACAGAAAAATCCAGAATTGAATTCATTATATAAATAATGCTTTGCACATATGAGGCACTGGGTTCGATCCTCAGCACCACTAGATAGATAGATAGATAGATAGATAGATAGATAGATAGATAGAGTCCATCTTTAAAAAAAATTAAACACAAAACTGCCATGATTCTACTCTAGGTGTACACCCAAAAGAATCCAAAGCAGGGACTCAAACAGCATACCCATGTCCAAAGCAGCATTATCCACAATAGCCAAAAAGTAAAAGCAGATCAAGTGTCCATCAATGGATGAATACATAACAAAACGTGGTACACACAATTAAGATAGTATTCAGTCTTTAAAAGGAAGGAAATTACAATACTGATGAATCTTGAAGTCTATTTAATGACCGGAGTTTTAGTTTGAGAAGATGAAAAAAGTTCTGGAGATGGATGGTAGGGATGTTTATACAAGGTACTTAAAGATACTAAATAACTATATACTTTAAAATATATAAAATATTTATAAATAAATAGTAAATGTTGTTTCATAAAATAGTAAATGTTTTTTGTTTCTTTTAGAGAGCGAGAGAAAATTTTTTAATATTTATTTTTTAGTTTACGATGGACACAACATCTTTATTTTATTTTATGTGGTGCTGAGGATCGAACCCAGCGTCCCACGCATGCCAGGCGAGCACGTTACCACTTGAGCCACATCCCCAGCCCCTAAAATAGTAAATGTTGTTATATCATTTTAACACATTTTTAATAAAGCCATAGATTTATCTAATCCTTTTTTCCCAAGCCACTAATGGTAGTGGTAAGCAAACCTTTTCAAGAAAGTAATAGACACTCTGAAGTGAGAAAACAAAATATCTTCTATTATAGTTATTTTCAAAACAAACTATTGTGAACAAAGGGTAAAACACAATGAGAACAGGAAAAAGAGAAAACAAAAAGGGAAAAAAGACCATGTAAAATTTGTCCTCCTACCCTATGGTTTTTTACTTGTTTTTTTTAAAAAAAAAACGCCTAGACTCCGAGCTACTCGGGAATCTGAGGCAGGAGGATCACAAGTTCAAAATCAGTCTCAGTAACTCAATGAGTTCTTAGAGTTTAAAAAGCTAATATAACATAGCTCAGAATAGGGCCCCTGGCTTCAATCTTTAGTGCCATAAATTAATAAATAAACAAATTGCAGACAAAAACATTACAAATTATCGTGTACACAAACTATTCAAATATTTCATTTTGATTCTGGATTTTAAAATCCGCAACCTGGTTCTTCTAGGCATTTCACAACAGGAAACAGAATGGAAGGATAAGAAGGTTGGGAGAAGAACTGAGAAGAGACAAAAATTGTACAGGAGAAGCTGACCACAACACAGAGAAAAAGGCAATCGAGGGCCAGGTAGGAAATCTCTTTCTCTACTACATATCTAACCAATTTGAACCCTTTTCTTTGGTCTCTTGCCAAAGACAAGGCAACCTGAAGGTAAAGTCATGGGATTATCAGGTACAGACCCAGAAAAGGGGCTGCTATGACCAACTGAAATTTTGCCTAATGTCCTATTGTTATAAATTAATTGGGTTTTGCTTAGGTTATAAGAAGCTGGAAAGAATGCTGCTCCCAACCCAATGACAGGAAAAACTGGATAAACTAAAAAATTAATAAATCTTTCTTGAATCAATCAGATAGCTGAGGGAAGACTCAGAGTAAACAGAAAATCACAAATTGAGGAAAAGATAAGCCCTTCCTAAAAGAGACAGAATACAAACACTGGCTCATCTGCAGGTATGGCTGAAAGCAGGTAAAAGGAATTAAATTTAAAATTGTTAAAAAACTGCTAAAGGTGAAGTGTGAACTAGCATAAGCATATAGTATCCCTTGGTACCACAGACAAAACAATAATTGAAAACCAACTATAATATATTAGCCAGATTTCTACCAGGTGCTCACAGTGTGGGTGGGGCCCCGTGAATGTGATGTAAGGCTGGACAGAGAAAGCAGCTGATGGAAAACAATACAATTCCCTAACCGATCCAATCTTTTTTTTTTTTTTTTTGGTACCGAGGGATTGAACTCAGGAAAACTCAACCACTGAGCCCTATTTTATATTTTATTTAGAGACAGGGTCTCACTGAGTTGCTTAGTACCTTGCTATTACTGAAGCTGGCTTTGGAACTTACGATCCTCCTATGTCAGTCTCCTGAGTCACTGGGATTACAGATGTACACCACTGTACCTGGCTCAGATCCAATCTTTAAGGTACTGGATGAGGCAGAAAATCTGGCAGTTCCCCAGAGCACAGTGAAAACTTCATTAAAGATGAGAGAAAGGTGAAAGAAAAACTCCTCTACCAATAAGGGAAACAGTCATTAGAGATCTAATGTCATATTAATAACATCAGAGATTTACGACTGAAGCAGGCTTGAGAAAAACTTTTTCCAAACAAGACCTGCAAAGACTCAAGATATAATTTGGCCTAGAGGGGCAAGATCATTGAGAGAGAATCCCACCCTTGATGCCAACACACACAAGGGCCTATCTAAGACTGCAACTCATAAGCACCAAGTTAATATAGTAGTAGTCCACCACCTCTGGGAGAGGGTCAGAAGGACTTAGAAATTTCCCACTAAGGCAAAGATACAAAGAAAAAGCCAAAAGCTTCGAGCTGATCAGAAAAACAGAAATATCTTCCCACATTCCAAGCACAAAATAACATGAGAAGTTTGAAGCCAAATGGTATACTTAAGGTAATACAACAAAAGTGAAACTCAAATCCTGACCAGATCAACTCAATCTCCTATAATTAAAAGTTCAGGAACGCAGTTTTCCAGATATAAATAATAGTCTTTGTTGTTCTGTTCAAAATATCAAGCATTCAGTAAAATAATGTGACAGACAAAAATGGCAGAAAACATAATCCACCATCGTCAAGAGACAAAAGCATTCAATATAACCAGAAATCAAAAATCAATTAAGTTAAAATCAGAAAAAAATAGGGGAAGCCGAGGGCATTGGTGCAAACCTGAAATTTCAGTGGCTCGGAAGGCTGAGGCCTCTTCCTGTGAGTTCAAAGCCAGCCTCAGAAAAGTGAGGCATTAGGCAATTCAGTGAGACCCTGTCTCTAAATAAAACACAAAACCTGCACTGGAGATGAAGCTCAATAGTAGAGAGCCCCTGAGTTCAATCCTGATACCAAAAAAAAAAAAAAATCAGGGAGAATTTAGCTCAGTCAGTGGTAGAGCACATGCCCAATATGCATGAGGCCCAGGGTTCAGTCCTGGGAAAAAAAGGCAGGGAATGAGGGGTAATAAGTCAATGAAACTTAAAATTGAATTTCAATAAAAATCAGAAAATTGTTAAACCTCTGCTAGAAGTGAGAAAATAATAATAAAGTCACAAATTACCAATATTGAGGCTAGGAAAGAAAGATGGTGCATGCCTATAATCCCACCTACTGGGGAGCCTAAGGCAAGAGGTTGAAAAGTTGGGAAGCCAACCTAGGTTACTTAGTGAGACCCTATGTCAAAATAAAAAACAAAAAGGGCTTGGGACTGTAGCACTGCGCTAGAACACTTGCCTACCATGCATAAGGCAATAGACCTGACCTTTAGTACACCAAAAAACAATACTGGGAATTAAAAATTGAATATCACTACAGACTTTCAATATCGTATAGACTTTTTTTTTTTTAAGACAGAGTGAGAGAGGAGAGAGAGAGAATTTTTAATATTTATTTTTTAGTTCTCGGCGGACACAACATCTTTGTTGGTATGTGGTGCTAAGGATCGAACCCGGGGCCGCATGCATGCCAGGTGAGCGCGCTACCGCTTGAGCCACATCCCCAGCCCCTCGTATAGACTTTGAAAGGGAAATTGTGGACTATTTCAAACAAATTCATGCCCATATATTTACCAATTTAGATGAAATTGTCAAATTTCTCAAAAAATATGAATCTCCAAAGCTCACACAATAAATAACTTAATTAGCCTTATTTCTTTTGAAAATTGAACCTGTAGTAAAAACCTCCAACACAGAAAACTCCAGGCCCAGATGGCTTCAGTGGAGAATCCTACCAACATCTAAAAATAAACAATACCCCAGGGTTGGTGTCACATGCCTGAAATCTCAGCAACCCCAGGGTCTGAGGCAGGAGTTTGGGGCCAGCCTGAGCAACTTTGCAAGATCCTGACTCAAAAACTTAAAAGGCTGGCTAAGCGCAAAGGCACACACCTGTAATCCTTAAGACTCAAGTTTGAAGCCAACATCGGTAATTTAGTGAAGCTTTAAGCAATTTAGTGAAACCTTGTCTCAAAATAAAAAATAAAAAGGCTGGGGATGTGGCTCAGTACTAAAGCACCCCTGGGTTCAATTTCTGGTACTAAACAAACACAATATCAAATCTATACACTCTTCCAGAAAAAGAAGAAACATTTCCCAACTTACTTTATAAGGCTAGATGACCCTGATACCAAAATGAAACAGACAATAGATATCAGTTTATTCATTAGAAGTTAGAGATTACCTATATAACATCTATTATAACCTAACTTAATTATGTACACTTAAAATATAAAGAGAAAAGTTTTAACATGCATATAATCCTATTTATGTTAGAATTTAACAAATCTCATTCTTTAACTAGGTAAGTTCTTTCCTATTATCAGTAAAAAATAGAATAAGCAAGTAAAGATTGGGAAATGAGCATGTTTAGGGAAATAAATCTACTACTAAATGAAAATGATACAATTTAAGTAGAATACATCACAAAATAAACAGCAATGGGAGCAATATTTCAAAATTAAGAAATCAAGACACTGGGAAAAAAATATAGAATGTAGAACATTCTCATTTTTTCAAATTTAAACCAGTTCTCATTTTAGGATTATAAAAAGTTGATTGCCCAATAATCTAGAACTGGGCATAAAGTTGGCTTCAAATTATATGCAACTCAGCCAGGTAGTCCCAGCAGCTCAGGAGGCTGAGACAGTAGGATTTCAAGTTGAGCCAGCCTCAGCAAAATTGAGGTGCTAAGCAACTCAATGAGGCCCTGTCTCTAAATAAAAGACAAAATAGGGCTGGGGATATGGCTCAGTGGTCAAGTGCCCCTGCAATCTCCGATACACTCCCTCTAAAAGAAAACTTATCTGCAACTCAGGCAAAAGGATTAAAGGTAAGGGATGTGAGAGTAGACAAAGAATCTCTTCCAAATGTTCATTTTAACTACAACATTGATTGTGTTAGTTCTTTTAACACCACCTGAAATTTCAGACATACATCCAAGTGCCTCCTCAATATTCTGAATTTGTACCTAAAACTGAATTACTTTCCCCATTCCACACTATACCAAAATCTACTCTTCCTACTATTTTACCTATTACATTCTTCATCACAGCTCAGGCTTTGAAACCAAGCCAGACACTTAGAAGTCATCCTAAACATTCTAGTTACCACTCCTTTCTCTTATTACCTACAGCCAATCATCAAATCCTGAAGATTTTAGCTCCAAAATATTTTTTGTCTTGTGGAAATCCATCTTCCACACTGCACAAATTTACCTAGTTCTCTCGCCAGATTTCCCATCAGCTGCCTTCCAAATAAAACTACTCTCTGGGTTTGTATATAACCTTACCAGATCTACTCTCTAGCCTTTTTTTTTTTCCCCCTTTCATTGCTATTAGCTGCCTCATCCCCCGCCCCCACCCTGTTCCAGGTATTAAACCCAGGGGTGCTTTACACTGAGCCACATCCTCAGCCTTTTTATTTTTTATTTTGAGACAGGGTCTCACTAAGTTGCTTAGGATCTAAGTTGCTGAGGCTGGCCTCAAACTTATGATCCTGCCCTTCAGCCTCCTGAGTCTCTGGGGTTACAGGTATGGGCCACCGTGCTCAGCAGTTGCCTCATTCTTTAGGCTGCAGTAATAATAGTTCCCTATCCACTTTGTGCTCGACACATGCTTCTACCTTCATTCTTTCAACCAGTTCTTATCATTATTTAAAATTCAGTCCAAGTATCATTACTCCATAATGAACTCCACATCCACAAATTCATTGTGTAAACCCTGTAATTATCTCTACTTCTTAATAAATCACACTGAAATAATCTGTTTCTATTGAAATAACCTTTATATATATATATATATATATATATATATATATATAACTGTACTAGACTGAAACAGTCTTGAAGGCACAGAGCTTATCTATAACTCCAATCGCCTGATATACATAACTTAATCTTGGTTGAAATAAAGCATAATTTTTTTTTTCATTTCTCTCAAAAAGACCACATAATGGCTGGGCCTGATAGCATACACTTGCAATTCCAGTTACTCAGAAAGCTGAGGTAGGAGGATAACAAGTTTGAGGCCAACTTTGGCAACTTAACAAAGCTTGTTAAACTA